AAAAAAATAATTTTGTTAATCGGTGGAACATAAACTATTAATGGAAGGTAGTAAAATGTATATGAAATCACCATGACAATACGTTTTATTATATGAAATCAACTCCGTTGTATGCACAGAGCAAGCGGTTTTGAGTAGCAAAATTGAACAGCATGCAATATATCCTCAAGAGTTCATGGCTTCTGTTTCTGTGAGTAGATATAATCAGTTTGAGCTGTAAGTGTTCTTCTCATCAAACACTCCTCTTCTCCGACTCCTTCACAGCCCTCTTCCACCTTAACTGTATCTGGTTCAGTAGTGTCCTTCAGCAAATCAAGAAGAAAAAATTATTAATTAAGCAAACAAAAACTATACAAGCAAGTTGATTGAAGAAAAAAAGTTGGAGAAATATATGTTAACGTGCCACATACAGATTGTCCATGGGAGTTACATCACCGAAGGCTGGCTCCGGCCGGGCAGCATAGGTCAATGTGAAGGAGAGGAGGAGAACGGCTATAATGCAAACGGTGCTGATCCTGTAAGCCATATTCTTCTGTTTCTCCGTAGTTTTCTTTCTTTCTAGAAATGTCAAAGGAACATAAAGGATGTGGAGAGAAGAGATTAGATTGTATGGGGTCAATTTAGAGAGATCATGGAGTGTAAATATGGAATTATACATGGAGCAAAAACAAATGATGTAAAGTCATGTTATCTTATTAAACTTGTAACCGAATGATTTTACAAGAAGCAACAAATTTAAAAAACAATTTAAATTTAATTTTTAATTAATTAAATATTGAAGAAAAAAATTAAAAAAAACTAAAATACAAAAGAATAAAAATAAAATAGTAATTGTAAAAGAAAAAAATAACTTGTGTCTGTCAGGGTTAACTTGATAAACTTATGGGTTAGATTATAAAATCAAAATAACACCGATAAAAAAAATAAAAAAAAATCATAAAATCTAATTTTAAAAGATCAATATTGGAAAAAATATAAGTCCAAAAGAAAAATGATGTCAACCCTTCTTATCCTATAAAATTTATATCCTGAGTCATTTGATCGAAAACACCAAATATGAATACTAAATTTTAATAAATTAAATATTGAAAGATAAAAAAAATTAGACACACAAAATAAAATATATAGTTTGAATTTCAATAAATTAAATATCAAAAGATAAAATTAAAAAAATTAATCACAAAAAAGAATTCAAAAGATAAAATCAATTGAGTGGATAATTTGAGGAAGAAAAAAATTAGAGTGGATAATTTTAGAAAAAAATGATGAAATTGAAAATAAAAATTAATTTTAAAAAATAATTAAATAATAAATTATTAAGAGAATGAGCATCAAATTTTTAAAAATCAACAAATTAAAATTTTTGGTCAAATAATGAAATTAAAAACAATTAAAAGTTTACAAAATATGCAAGAAAAAAAGAAAAAAAATCATGATGAAATTTGAAAAAAAAATTAAATTAAGGATGCAATTGACAAAAATAAAAAAAAAAACTTACAAATAAAGCAAAGAAAAAAATTAAAAAATCAAGAAAATAAAAATTAAAACTCAAATATACCCAAACAAGAAGACTGCCCTGTTAGGCATGAATTCAAGGGGAGGAAAAAGATCACAACTCCAATAATAATTTATCTAGCAAAACCAAACACGCAGCATTTATGGAGAAAAAGAACATTGTGAGAAATCCAGCGACACGAACACGATAGAAGTAAATTTTTGAACACTGGAGTACAACGCACGCACCATCAAAGTACCTTAATGTCCTCTGGCACAACTTACATATGTTTTTTTTTTTAATTTCTTTAATTACTGTAAAATAATAATTTATCCCTTTACCAACCTTATTATAATAAAATAGAAAAAACCAATTGAAAATACAAAAAAAAAACCCGAAAATAGCTTGAACTAATTTTGAAGCAAAGGTTATTTTAGTAAAGTTATTGTACTAGAAAATATGAAATCTTAAAAAAAAAAAAAAAAACCTAGAGATCAATTATCTGATTTTCTATTTTTAAGAACAATGAAGGTATTTTACTGGTCTAAAGAGAGGAAAAGACTTTCGGACCCTGAGCAAGATGAAAATAACAAGTGAATCTCATAGAAAAAACTATTTCACCCCTGAGATTAGTGTTTTTTATGGTTGATATGATGAAGGGCAAAAGCATCAATCTATATTACAATCCAATGAATTTTCCACACCCTATATATTTTTGGTAAATTCATGATAATTCCCCGCTGATTTGAAGGGAATATAAAATCAGAAAAGAGTACGGATATGAGATGGATGATTGGGGTGGAAATTAGCATCATCTTTGGAAAGTGAATGAGTTCTAGAAGCATGATGTGTATGTAGTAACCTTTTCATGCATCCTAAAAGGAGTTTGGATTGTTAGGGTGTTCTCCTATTTCAATTACAAATCAAGAATATTGAAGTTCTTCATAAGGAGCTCCTGCAAGCATTTATCGTGATTAAAGAAGACATGCTGTTGTATTATTGAAACCAGCCTGAGCATAATTAATTAGTTTTGATTCATTTGCCTCGTAGGAAAAATTGAAGGGCCGTCGACTTGTCGGCGTTGATTGGTCATATGTTGGAAGGAAGCCACTTGAAACTGACGAAAATAAAGGCCATGCATGATAAGAATCTGGAAATCTAGCTTGTATACGTTAATATATGCAATATTATCAATCGCCAATCAATCATATATCTTTCTATAGCCATCCCCATTTCCTTTGAAGATTTGTAGAGCATTTTCTTTCCAGGAAATATCCAAGGCATTTATTTTTTTTATTCTGGTTTTCAGAAACTCATTTGACCGTGAGTAATCTCGTTGAGGAGGTCAGCTTATTAAAAATTAAAGTTTTCCGGTGATGGTGCATCCCATACACAATGTTCAAACTCAAAACCTTGTTTAAAGATAATAAACGTCCCACCGTTCAACCCGAGGCTTTCAATTACCCACCCCAAACAGCCAAGGGTGAACAGCTTTGAATTATTGGATACTTGTAATAGGCAGAAACCACGGGAACAGCCGTGAAATCAAGGGTCAGTGCATGTCAATTATTGTACCATAATCAAGGAATATAACGTCTAGCACGCTAGGTTTTTGCTCGTAAGCTGTGCTTCAATAACTCAAAAGTGAAATGGCTCCAGAGTTGATTCCAGGCTCAACTAGTGGTAGACCGAAAAGGATGAATTGGTTGGACCATGAGGCCATTATTTGTCCTTTTGATTTAGGTCCTCCTCCGTTTGTGTTACCATACCTATAAGCCCACAAACTAACCAGAAATCCTGGTCAGGTGGAGGCCATAAGTTAAGAACGATGACCAAAGAAAAAAAGTCATTTAGTTATTATAAATTATCAGAAGCTGGGATTTTTCGATGAATTCCATTACAATACCAAAGAGAGCTTTTCATGGCAGGCCAGGCCAATGTTTGCTGGCTTGATCAACTTAAGGGATGTTATTATCTTCCTTTGGCGTGTTACTGCTGAAAAACTCAAGATAAAATTAACTTTTAAGGAACAAATGCTAATTATTGCCAAAAATCAAGACACTCTTTCGTGTTTTACCGCAGAAGAATCCTGCTACGTTAAACCATAAGACACCATTTCATACTCACTCTTCACTGCTTACAGTCACCAAAACTTGCCTTTACAATCATTGAACCCATTTCAATAGGTCCACTAGCAATGAGATTCAAAGCAGGAACAATGGTAAGTTGCAATCGCTGAAATTGATGCCATTTCAGTTTTGATTTGTGCCTAGAATCACCTTCTAAAGATTTAATTAATCAAGGATTTTGTATATCTTCCTCCTTTTTCCCCGAGGGACTCGAGGACCATTTTCTGAGCCACGTTATCTTCCCACCAGAGCCTTTAATGATGTTACGACAGGCTTGACAAAGAGGTTTTCCTCTGTCATCCATCATCGCTGAAAGCTACCAACAAAATGTGTATGGTAAATCTTGGAAGATGAAATTTAACTGATTTAATTTTAAATTTGTTTTTTAAATATTATTAATTTAAGTTTTATAAATTTTAAAGTTATTAAATATTTATATAATAATTAATTTTAAAATTTATAAAATTAATTGATATATATATAAATTATAGAATAAAAACATTAATAATAAAAATAAAAAATATATATATATAGCCTTCTGCACCATAAAGTTTTCTCCCTCCTGCAGCACCAGCAAGTAAACCATTCTTTCCAGGTTTATGCGTTTGATATTCAAAAGGCTTAAGACATATTTAGGGATTATTATTTATTGTTAGGGATTATTATTTATTGTTTTTAGATTAATGTGATTGTTTGGGTTATCTTGTGTGTATTATAATTAATCTTATAACTACTAAAAGTAACGATCATGTAAGACTTCAATTGCCGGTAACTAAAAACTTAAACCTGAAATCATAAAAAAAATAAACTTTTTCATTTCAAATTCTTACCACTCGATAATTTTAATTTAGAAATTATTTAAAAGTATTATAAGTATTGATTTTTAAAATCTTTTTATTTAAAAATATATTAAAATAATATATATATTTTTATTTAAAAAAAATATTTCTCACATCAATCTACTCATTTAAACGTTTCAAAAACATATTTAAAAAATAACTTTAAACAAAAAAAAATCAAAAAATTTAACAGACTCGAATGACTTTTGAATAAGACAAATGGCATCCATATAAAAAAGATTAAAAATTTGGATGACGTGAGACATTCATTGCCCATAATCTGTCTCCCTCTTTGTCCCATACCAACTTCACCCAGACATGCTAAAATGCCCATGGAGGGCCCTACCCACATGATGAATTTATGAGGAACCGAAAATCTGAACATCAGGGGGACCAATTGGACTTTGTATTTAGTCCCAAAATCAAGGTCATGTATGAGTGATGTTGGGGTTTACTACATTTCTTAGAACTGATTGTTGGTCAGTGAATATTAAATTATACAAGGAATCATTTGCATCCATAAACAAATACAAAGGCAGGAAGAATTTTGTCTGAATGTAGCCAAGCTGCCACCGTGCATACTGTACAACATTTAATTTTCCTCTGATTCATCCAGTGTTCTTATGGGTGTTTCTCGACATAAGACAAAACTTGAGCAGACCAAACAAAGTTTACCATATCATCCTGCAGGCATATCATATTAGAGTCCAAGCAATCAGGCCATGGATTGTGGACAGCCAAAAGTTAAAACTAGACGATCTTTTTATTGATTGATGATACCAAAATCTTAAGACAGTAGGATTTGAAGAAGATGAATGTCAAAATTCTCTCCTCACATATTTAAATCCACACCCTTCTATCATCTTTTCTTTGCGTTTAGCCTTCAATGTGACGGAAATGATCTGTCAGTTCCAACTACCAGCACAACTGCATCATCAACCTTTCTCTCTGAACATACTTGCAACATCAAGGCACTAAAGTTTGCAGGGTTCGAATGGCCTCCTCTACACCAAAACAGCTCCGGGAGTATCTCCAAGAGCAACAGAAACCTTTTGTATTAGATGTTTACCTTTCGGAACGACAGATCATGTTGAACAAGAAGCAAAAGAGACCGTGCGGTAATGATTTGAACAGGAGAAGAATTATGCAGGCTAGGAAGATCCTGAAGTTGTTGTTGCTCAAGTTCACTCGCAATGGTCAAAACCAATCGGTTTCAAGCTGCCAGAAAGCTCAGAAACATGAACCTGTTTTGAAAACAGTTGGAAAGCCCCAGCAGATTGGAGAAATGAAGTGGCTTCCTAAAGTGAGCAGTTCAGTTGCAGATCGTGAATATTTCAGATGCAATGTTAAAGATCCCCCTTGTTATGAAAATCATGCATCTCTTCATACAAAGACTCCTCAAGCGTTAACACATAGCAGCGTGAAACAGAAGGTACAGAAATGGATGTTATCCAGAAAAGGAGATCGAAACTTAATTTCCTTCTCGTAATGTGGTCACAAAAGAATTTTACATGGTTAATGTTTCTTGCGTTAAACTGAGTTGCTGACAAAGTTTTGCAGGTTTCTGCGGACATAAATCTTCAATGGGAATGCAAGGAAGAGAATGAGCAACTCAGCCAAGTGTCAGTACAGAAGGAACTACCATCAATAAACAAGGGTACAAAGAATCAGTTATTTCATCTATGAATCACAAAGCAATTTTCTTGATTTATAACTTTTAGATTTGTAGTTTAACCCAAACAAATTCCAATCTTACAATGGACAGGGTGTCACCTCCCAGCAAAACAAGAAGAAGAAGATGCATCAGCTTCAAGCACCGTTTTGAGCACAAACGTGGAGGAAGACTCTTTGCTCTCAGCTTTCTTGTGCGACGTGTTAATTAAATCATTGATTGAGAAGAATAGTGTTGCTGGTTTCACAGAGTTACAGGAGATCATTGTGCCTGCTTTTTCTCAGCACCTGAAAAACAGAAGGGTCTTATGGCAAAACATGCAGCTACTTTTTGATTGTGCAAACGAAGCCATAGAAGTATACAGGAGGAAGAACAGAAAAAAGCAGTATGCTCAAGAATTAATAGGTCTGAAAGAGCTCGGAAAAATCATCTGCGACCAAATTTGCTCATGTGGAAAACAAAACGCAGACGAACAAATAAATATTGACGTCACTAGCATAGTAGAAGATGGCTATTATTTGCAGCAGCTAAATAGGAGGATAGGGATAGAGATAGGAGATGCAATCTTGAATGAAATAATTCAGGAAGTAATCGATTTATCTTTTCAGTAAAGAATCGTTGTAATTACTTGGCGAAACAGAAACCATCACATAGCAACAGAACCTTCCGTCAAAAATTACAAGGAATCCAGCGTCAGCTAGTTCAACTGGCTAAGCTTAAGGAGTTCCCATGGCAGCATAAACTTTCAATTTGTTTTCACTAACATCAATAAAAACTAATGGAAAAGTGGTACATATTATCAAGCAATGCAGAGTGCAAAACAAAGTTGAAATTGTCTCGTACTTTCATAAATGGGAAAAATTAAAACCACAAGTGGTTATGGATCGCGTATGCATAAACTGCGAACAAGATCCATTCAGCCAGGATAAAGCACAAATTATCAAGATCCATCAGCGATGAGTAAGTACAAATGATAGAAACATAACGCTGATAATAACCACATTAATTATCAATTAACAAAAACTAAATGGTGTACGAAACTTACACCTTGGAGTACAATATTGAACTGCTGTTATGAGTTTTTATTTTCAAAGTTATTTGTTAATTTTATTTTTAAATATTAAGGTGGTTAAAAATTTAATTTTATAATTTTTTTATTTAATTTTTTTATAAAATTAGCATGATTTGTGAGTTTATTAGGATAAATGTTGCCTTGATTTACAGGTTTTGGTGAAATTTTATTTAATTAAACTTAATTTTTTTATAATTTATTTTTATATATAATTAAAATAAATAGTTTAAGAGAAAAGTTATGTTATTAAAATTTATAAAGTAAAAAAAATTAAAAGGAGTGGAAAATTACTTTTCATTCACACTTATTGTATTATTGTAAATAAAGTGCTTTGCTTCTTCTTTTTTTTCTTTTTTTCTTTTGTTTTTTTTTAGATTTTTTTTTAAATTTATTTTGAAAATTCTATCTTTTAATATTGAGATAATTAAGAATTTAATTTTTTATTTTTTATTTTGTTTTTCTATAGAGTTAACGTGAATTATAAGTTTATTAGGGTAACTCTAGTTGCCCCAATTTACTGGTTTGATGGGGTGTTTATTTTTTTAATTGAACTTAAATTTTTTTATCGTCTTCTTTTTCTCCTATAGTTAAAAAAAATTAGTTTTAGAGAAAAACCATATTATTAAATTTTATAAAGTCCATGGACCTATTTATAGGTTTAACAAATTGACCTGATTCACGGTCTGACAAGTTTAACTTTTTTAAATTATTTTAAAAAAATCATCTTTATACATTGAATTATGTAGGAATTCAGTTTCATAATTGATTTCGTTTTACTTTCTGTGAGGTTATTGGGGTATCATAAAAACTTCTTGGTATTGAATTGGTATTTAATTTTGCAATTGTATATTTTTATTATCATATAATTAAATAAAAAATAGTTTAAAAACACATAAATTATAATTTTATGGAGTCTATAACTTAGTTCATAGATTTGACACATTGGCTCAAGTTATTTTATTCACAAGTTTACTCATCGACCATATATGTTTTTTTTTTGTTCATTTAATTATTTTTAATTTATTTTTCTTGATTTTATCATTTAATATCGGATTGGTTGGAGAATATACTGCATGATTTATTTATTTTCTTTCTATTGGGTTATCATTCTAAAATAAATATTTATTTTTAAATTAGTGTTTAATTTTATGATCATCTATTTTTATCATATAATTAAATAAAAAAATTATTAAACTCAATAGAATCCATAAACCGAGTAAGACGAGGACCGAGGTCAATCCAATCTTTTATTGCCTCAATATTTTTTTTATAAAAGATTGTCAAGCTGAAATTTTTTTAAAAATTAAGTTATATTTTTAACGGTTATTAAAATTACATTTGAATTTATAAAATTAATTGAATTAAATTAGATTAGTTCACAATGATTTAATTAAAAATTTAAGTAAAATAAAAAACCGAGTAGAAAAGTTTTAAAATTGACCCTTTAATAACATTACCAGGAAATTTCCGTGCTCTTTTAACATTTTTGTTTTTTTTATATTTTTTTAAAAATTAATCCTACCACGACCACGACAGAACGTGGCCCAATAGACTAGTAGAAACTAACCACTTTCTATTAGGGGGTGTGATCTTGGAGGTACCAAAACCTTTGGGATCGTCACCCAGACCGCAACATACACAACGCTTACGTGCAAAATATACCCACTGTGACACCATTAGAGCATCCACATTGTTGCTCTCTAACTAGGCTCTTCAGCTATAATAGCTAGCAAATACATGTTTTATCCGCAGCATTGGTGCTCTCCAAAGGGCTCTCTACTTTGGCCTTGTCTACACTACTCGCTAGCACTCTCTAGTTGTGGAACGGCAGAGAGGGAAGGAAGACGTGATTCGCGGGTTTTGGCAACTCTCGCCTAGAATGTAACTTCTCAGCTTCTGATGTTAACAAAATCCCTTGAACCACAGATTTTAAAGCACGTCCAGCAGTTGAACCAGCACAAACCAAGAACCCAAATAAATGAAACAAATGCTCACTATTACTAGCCAAAACAATCCCAAAAACCACAGGCAAAAGTGCACAAGAAACCTCAACAGATTCTTCCTTGCAAGTTACCAAGAAAGCAAAATTAGCAGAAAAAAATGGTGTGGTTGCCCCAATAGCTTGATTAAAAGACACAGGCAAGTACATTAATGAAGAATGTCAAGAACTTGGTCATTGGTGGTGCCATCCATTATTCTTGGGTTGCTGATTCTCCTTGTTGCCCATGCTTGTGCCTCCACCATCCTCCTAGGCTTCAAGAAAAAAAGGAGGTTTTCCTTAAAAAATAGTTTTATATATTTGGTTAAAAAATACTTTTTAAATCGAGATTATATATATATTGATGGCTTTTAATTTAAATATTATAAATTTAACTATTATTATTACATCATGAAATAAATAATATTGATATTAAATATTTTTTACTATTCCATTAAACTACATGCAATTTTATCACATATAAAATATATATAACAAGGACTATATTTTTCATGGTTTATTAAAAGCGCAATAATATTAGATAAAAATATCATCAAGAACGAAATTTAATTGCAATCAAATTCTGCAAAAGTTACGTCATTAAGCGATCTTCTTCTAATTTTTTTTTAATAAAACACAATGAAAAATGAAAATAAAAACTAATTTTTTTTTTAATTGGGTCAGACTCTGCAAGAACAAAATTGGGATTGTGATCAAATTCTACAAATATTACGTTATCAAACAATCTTCTTCTAATTTTTTGAATAAAACAATTAAAAATAAAAATAAAAACTAAGTTTTTTATAATTGGGTCGGACCCAGCAAGAACAAAATTGGGATTACGATCAAATACTATAAATGCTACATCATCAAGCGATATCCTTTTAATTTTTCAAATAAAACATAATTAAAAATAAAAATAAAAAATAAATTTTTTTAACTGGATCGGACCTGACAAGATCAAAATTGGAATTGCAATCAAATTCTACAAATACTACATCACCAAGCGATCTCCTTATAATTTTTTGAACAAAACACAATTAAAAAAATAAAAATAAAATTTTTTTAATCGGATTAAACTCGGTTTAATATATTTAGTTTTGGATCGAACCTAGTAGCCGAAACGTAGAGTAACTCTCCACTGCTCACTTAAATTAACAATGAAGATGAACTCTATTGTTCACATGAACAATAAAGTTCACTCTCCATCATTCACTTAAGTGAGCAGTAGAGAGTAAAACTTTTCATTGTGTGGAGTAGCAGCAAAATACTATTTTTAATAAACTTGTGGTGCAATCTTAATAAATGGTAAGCCCTACCACAAAAAAAAGTTGTGTTTTTGACTTAACTAAATAAAAAAAATTATGATTTCAGATAAATTTCACCCGCAGTCACAATACCAAAAGAACCAAACAATGATAATAAAACATTCATGACTATATTTTAGAAAACATAACGTAATAATACTTTTAGCTAGCTAGTTGAAATAGCTATTTACCTAAAACGCAAAGAGCATGAAAAATGCTGGCGGACAAGAAAAATGTTCCTCGGTTTTCGAATCTTACTGTTCTCCCAGCACACAAAACTTTCCGATTGCTTCTTTAAATTTCACATTTTATTTTTCTTCGTCTCCAATTTGAATTCACTCCTTCTCTTCGTTACCCAAAGCACCCCCGTTTCAGCATATTGCCGACGGAGGAATGAGTCTGAAACCAGGTTTCAGACTTGTTACTACATTATGCAATTTCAGTATCTCGCCTCCAAAAGGCAGAGAAGCACCAGTTGTCCGCAGCAACTATTGGCATCATTAAGCTATCGTTACAAGAAGAACGTACATTAGAATAGGCCTGCACATTTGTAAACAGATGGTTCTAAACCAGCCTCTCACCCAACCAAAGCGGGGAACAGTAATCTAACATGGCAACCCTGATTGAACTGACTACAGTGAACACGTACCACTTTGGCTGTTTAGCTCTAGTTCGTAGTTATGGTACATTTTAGATATTTCATATTCTTGATATTTATTTTGCGAAGTCATAACAGTGCGTCGATGCAATGTGACTTCTCTCAGAATATTATCCAAAACAAAAACATGGATCTATGGCCTGATTAAACCACAAACCAATGCACATAGAGATTACAGAAAGATGTCGGAATACGACTTAAAACTCTATTCTATCACGGTAAAGCTTTAGAAAACAGTTCATCTTGTAATACAGATAAAACATTGAAGAGATTTTGAAAGGGATAAATTGTTAACTACCGAGTTTCCCTATCCTCACCAAATTCCCCATCTTCAAGATCCTCAAGATCACCAGTTCTACGAGAAGTATTTCGGTGATCTCTCTTGTGTCTCTTGTGCCTGCTTTCACTATCTGACTCAGGAGTGGAAGCATGCTGTGGCAATTGTAGGGAGAAGAATGGAGGAAATGTTCCATTAGAGCTTTAAGTGAATGGATTAAGCAACAAATTACAAGCGAGGCCGAGCATTTATCGCATGATAAGGGGCAAAAAAATGCATACCCTTCTTGATTTTTTGACGTCACTGCTGCTATGTCTGTGTGAACTCTTGGACCTATCCTTCTCGCTTTCATCCAGATCATCCACAGTATTTTGATGCCTCTTCCTCTGTTTCCTGCTATTGTCACTCCCAGATCTTTTCTTATCACTACAAACTTGGGTTTCTATTGTATCATCAATTTCAACATCTTCTTCTTCCTTTCTTGTTTCTCTATCATGTCCCCTCTCCTTTTCCCTTCTATGTTTTGCTTTCCTCCTTTCTCTTTCCTCCCTCTCTTTTTCCTTTTTTGCCTGCAGAATATTAAAACCAAAAAATTACTTGAATATCCAAGTTTATTTATTTTACATATCCACAAGTTCCAGGCAGGAAGTGACAAGAGTTCACATATGTAGCAGTCATGGTTCAAATATCGGTTCTTACATGCAAGAACCCTGGTTTTGTTTAAGGCAAACAGCAGTGTACTAAATCAATTATTTACTTGAACCCCTGCCTGAAATCATCCACGAAGTAAAACCATTATGCGGAATTAATGGTCCAGTAAAGCCTACACAATCTATCTTCAACTGTTTTACCATCTTGAGGACATATCATATCCAAATTCTAAATTCCCAAACCAATTTCAACTACTTTGACTTCAATTCTCTAGGCAACTCTGTGAAACTGAAACATATAAAACTTCTTGATTGTGCAGTCACTAACCTTCTATATGATCAAACTATAGCAGCCAACTCTCTAACCCTAATACCACAAGGAACAAAGCTTGCCACAGAGTTCAGAACCTAGTTTGCTCTTTCACAAAAACTAACAGTGTCAGCAGAGCAAAACACAAACAAGTGAGCAAAAACATTATCCAATCACAGTGATCATAATCTGACATATAATTCTAGAGAAACATCAGTATCATAATTCTATGTTCACAAATTGCAAAATGTTCATACCATCTACAAGCTAAGAAGTCATAAGATCACGGCAGTACTCTGCACAGACTTCTATTTTATATATTTCCATAAAAAAATATCAAAAGGAAAAATAAAAACATTTCAAGTTTTGAACATTGCTAGAGGCACTTGAAACTGTTTCATACCTTTTCCTCCTTTCGTTTCCACTCATTCTCTTTCTCCTGATCTTTCAGTTGAGATACATATTCCTCAAATATCTCTCTACAGAAGCCTTCTTCACCAATGGAACTATAAGACAGCATCAAGCAAAATGATATTATGAATAAAGCAAAAGCTCAGATAATGGACATTTCTCCATGTTGATGTGCCACGTGTTCACAAATAATACATACAGGACCAAAGATAAGATATAGCATGGAAATCAATGATTGTGACTTATAAAACACAAAAAGTTGAAGTGAATCCATAAATTAAAAAAAAAAGTATATCCTAGCAAATCCCAAAAGAAAAATTATGTTTCAGGAGGGAGGGTGGATTTCTTGACATGTTTGTAAGCAATTAAAATCATTGCAGATGCATATATCATAGACTCTACTTATTATCAATTTGACAAGTAATACCTGTATTCTCGGCTACCATCAAAGATTTCCTTGCAGCTCTCCCACTTAGAAGATGCAGTTATATCCTGCAACAAAGCAGAGAGGATCAGATGGATGATGGAATGAAAATGCCCTCAAGTAACCATCCAATACAAAGAAAGTTAATTGAGAGTGCGATACAAACCTTGATAGACTGTAGTAGAATGAGAAAATCATCCTCAAGACGCTTACGCTTCCTGGCTTCTTTCTCCTCTTTTTCCCTGGCTCTTTCCAGCAATTCATCAAATACCATCTGCAAAGAGGTAAATCAAGCATCAGATCATTTTAGCACGTGGATGAATGACTATAAGCATGCCTAGCTAGCCCCCCCACCCAAAAAAAAACCACAATAAGCAAGTAAGAAAAAAAATAATCCCTTAAATATATAACCAGGTACACCATAGTGTAGTTCGCAATTTCCAGATCTAGTTATCATTCACCTTCTAATTGGGGCAGTACCACATTTTGAGCAATGTCTTTGGAAATGACACTCATTGTTGCTCCAATTGATCACATTCAAACAATTGCCAAGCACAGTCTGGTGACATCAAACAAGGACAATACACAACCCAGCGAAAATTCTAATTTCTAACAATTTCTTTCCTTTTCCTTTCCTTACCTTTTTTTCCTTTTCTTTTTCTTTTTCTTTCCTTCTTTGTTTTTTTGTCTTTTCGATCAGATGCCAGAAATTCCGATTACAAATAATAGAAGAAACTCAAAAGGAACATGTAATCCACTGAAACATGGAGAAAATGACCTTGTAAAAGATAAGCATGCCAAGTCACCCTAAGAAACAAGCATTAACTATTATGAGAACATACAGCACCTTTAGGTTCACATCTGATATATGTGGAGAGCCAACATCCTCGACAATAGCAACCTTCAAATCTTCAAGTGTCCAGGTTGATGCCAAAGGAACCTGAAAGTTAAAAGTACATTAGACATCTAAGAGAACAGGATAAGTGAAAAAGAAGATGACATTTCCAGGTTATACCTTTTTCAACTTTACAACATCCTTTATCCGAGTTTTGTCCTCATGATACTGTAAAAACAAACAGGAATGCAAATTTGTGAGCACCGGAACATTAAATCAAAGAGTATCAATTTTCCAACCAAAAATGTCAAGATTTAAATCAATTTGTGACCTTCCCATAAACAGTATAGTAATCATGTAAAACAGGTAGCTAGACATTCCGGGTTTTCACTGCAGAGAAGTTGCTGCTTGTCTCTTACATTTAAACCCAAATTCCATGGGCTCAACTTCATTGAAGGAAAAATATCTCAATACTAAACTATTTAGTTTCAAAAAACTAATTGGCTATATAAACTAATAAACCACATTTGTGGAGATCAGAGTTAATTCTGAAGACAACTAAAGCAGGTATAACAAAGAAAATGCTGAAACATCAAGAATAAAACAAAATAAAACAAGTTCCCACAAAATGTAAAGTTCATAAAAGTATATTTTGCTCAATTCAACATGCATATTTTGCTGAAGTCAACATGCTTTCCTTGATGAAAAAGCCAATTATCAAGATACCTAAACACATGGTATAATTACCTGTTTCTGTAGCTCCTCAGCGACATCTTCAAACAAATCTTTTGGAGTTGAACCTGAGTTGTTTGAAGCAACAGCCACATATGCAGGTAAATCTTTAACCTGAATGACAAATTAAAGTAAAAATATGAAAATGCATCCCCCAACATGAAACAAACAGCTCTTAACAAAACCAAATATACAATTCCCAATAATAAAATGGGACATGCACGCGCAAGCGCCCACACAGAGATGCTTATCAAAACAAAATCAAGGTAGGTTAATAACCTTCAGGTGATAGTCACGCCAATTAGTTTTGGCAGTAAGAGTGCCTGCAGCAACATGTTCTTCAAGTAGCTTGCGGAACTCATCACGATTTTTACGCTCTGCCTTTCTCAGTTCTTCCTATTTTCATCAATATGGGGATAAGAATATCATATAAAACAAATCAAAATACTTTTTCATCACAAAGGCTAACAGATAATAGCACCTTATGTATCTTCCTTTGCTCCTCTTCTTCCTTCTCCAAATCATGTAAATAATCCTGACACACCGTTGTAAAATTAGCTCCCAATACTCATAGAAATGTTACTTCTAAATGATGATTAGTACCTGAAAAATTTCTATGCGATCAATTTTTTCAAGACGTGAACATCTTTCATCAGCTTCTAACCGATCTTGTACTTTTCGCCACTGGGTGCTTGCCTACAGAGGGAAAATGATGGATAAGTAAGAAGTTGCATTGCCAAAGGAAACCTGAAAAACTGAAATCAGCTTCGCGAAAAGAGTGCCTTAATGAATTCACATGATTCCAGAAACTGCCTATATTCCATAATGTTCCTCTTGCGCTCCTCCTGTGCCTTTGCTCGTTCCTAGTCAAAATTCCAGTTAAAGTTTCAAATCACAACTTCATATATTGCTACCGTCAGTTGCTAGACTTCAAACAGGAACAAGTATGCAGCAGAATATAAAGGCTACAGTGACCATAATATTTATATAATAACAAACTCCAAAGTGCATATATATGAGCATTGTCTACATGTATTTGCCACTGGGTAACAATAATACAGTGACATATCTCCCTGGACATCAGGTCATGTCCTCTAGATTCTATTGCTCTTGTTGCTCATGTAAAGCCATCTCAGATGATTTGACAGTGAATCACACAGCATCAACAAATGTATATTACTAATAGGGTACTAAATTATTAGGATGGATGTTATAAATAGATGATATAAAAATGAAGCTAGCAAAATATACCTTTTCTTCAAGTTCCTGCAAGTAGGTTTCAATCAGATCCCTACGGTCTCTTTCCCGTTCAACAGCTTTAAACTTTCCCTTTCAACAGCTTTAAACCGCTCATCGTTTTCAAACAAAGTCACTGCTTTGCTAAGCAATATTTCAAGCATTCAAGTACAAAAGAGTAATTATTAAGAAAACAACCATTCTATAAGCGGCAAGTGGCAAATGAATTAGAAAGAACAATTTAAATGGCATCAGAAAATGCAAACCTCAATCTAATTGATGCTGTCAGCTCTTTGGACTCCTGCAAAGGATTCATGTCAAAACAAAAGAAAAGCAAACTCTTCTAGAAAAACCATCTTTACAGACATAAATGAAGAAAGAATTCAAAAAACTTACTTCTAGCATGTTCTTGAATTCTTCCCGTGCTTTTTTCTGTTTAGTCCTCCTTTCCTCAGCTTCCTGTTTTCTCTTTTGACCCAAGAACTGAAACAAAAAGTTAGCATCATGATAAAACATTTTTAATGCGAGCTTGATAAAAAGCTAGACACTGGTTCCAGAAAGCATCAAACAAGGTATTGAATTGCAATTTTTTTTAGGAAGAATAAAATGTTGGGTTAAAACTTAAAGAACACCAACTGTAAGTATTTACCTCATTAAATGCTTGCTTTCTCTCTCCAAGTGTTTTTAATGCACCATATCTTTTATCATTAATTATTACTCTCATGGCCTGATATAATCAGCAGCAAAGTCAGGAACTTCCAAATGCAGGAGACAGAGAATCACATGCAATGTGTTGAATTACCTGGTCCCATGTCCATTCAGACCCAACATTTGCAGACTCCAGAAGTGCTTTAAATAAATTTTTTGCTTCCTAGAAGGAGGGAAGGATAAATTTACAGTCAAAAATGTTAATAACAGAGAAGGCACAATAAGAAAAACTTGAGTCTATAAAATACACACCAGCTTATCAGCATAAAGTAAGGGCTCATTATTAACTGCTTTCTCTTCCAACGGAACATTGTTAACCTTTTCATCTATGACCACCTCCTTTTCAGCTTCCTGAAAGGCATAAACCACATCAAGTTGCTAGTAAAGCAAGTCGAGTATGTTTCCAGACTGGTAATCTTAATGGTGACAACTACCTCTTTGTCTTGTGCAGGAGCTTCATCTGCTGAACTAGGTTTATCTTGATCTGAAAAGTTGTTCCTAAAACAATGTAACAAATAAGTGCACCTAAGATAAGTTCTACTCTGTTTCTTATGAAATAGGTAAAGAATACAATACATTGGTGCAGTTATGGTGTTCACCGCTGTGGCAGTGACTTCAGCAATTTTTGGAACATCAGCAACAGGAATCTCAATTGTCTGAACTTCATCTGCATTGGTCATCACGGAAGATGACATGACAGGTAAGGTCGATGATTCAGAAGCTAACTGCAACTGTGAATTACCAGCAGCAGCAACAGGTATAACAAGAACTGGACTCGATGGTGCCCCTTGAGCTGTAGAAGCATCTGCAATTGATGGTGTCTTATCCGCAGATGGAGGAACAGAAGTAGAGGCATGAGAGTTTGTAAAGACTTCTGATTGTTTTTCCATGGTAGATGTATTTTCTACTCGTGCACGGGCCAACTGGAAGCAAGTATTTAAAACAATAGTGGGATAAATATTCAAGTTTTTCTTTTAAGAAAAGATAAAATTTAAAATGAAAAAGAAAAGAAAAGAGGTTGGTGCAGGAGAAACCTTCAATTCTTCTGGGATTTCCCATTTTGACTGCTTGGTAACTTTATTGTAGTAATATCTAGAGGATTCATGGACAGAACAGCACCCAAAACATAAAAATAGGTTAGTTGCTTACTCGCTTCACTGAAAAGAGAATCTCCATATAAAGATTATGAATAAATAGCTTCAAGAAAAGTAGATTAAATTACACACTTTCGTCCATCAGGACTCTTAAACTCCTTCCAGTCAGTCGATGCATCTGCCCTCTATATTGGTAAAATAAATAAATCAATGAATAAAAGAAACACCATCTGATAAGTACTCAAATAAGAATACTTATGAATAAGAAAGCTTAGTCCCAGAGAAAATTTAATTTTGCTTTGATCTATTCAGAAAGCATTTACAGAATTCGATAATTCTTATACAGAATTCGATAACAATAAAATGCTTAAAACCCTCTTCCCAAAATAAAGGATGGAACAGCATGGAGGGGGATATGTGCTTTCAGTGATACCCAAGCTTCAATCCCACTTCAAGTACCTCTCACTTTCTCATTATTCCACAAAATGCTTTGTTTTCACTAAGCTATATTCACTTCACCAACATGCTTCTTTCATGAATAATGAACACATGCAAAAACCAAAAAGGAATAAAAAAAGGAAACCAACAGCATCATCCATTCCAAGAAGTCTAAGAAACATCATAAAAAGCATCCATGTTCAAGTAATCTAATAAAAAACAATCTGTGTTTCCTTCTTTTGCAATTGGTTTCACAAAATTAGAGGAATAATGAATTCTTTCTAGAGGCACAGGGTAAAAAAAGACATTTAAGGCCTAGTATGGGAGTTCAGGATATCAGGCAGACATTTAAGGCCTTGTAAGGATGTTTTTCTTATGGTCAAACATGTCAAGAAGTTTTCTTGTTAGTGCATACTAACCAAGTAACACAGCAGCTTCACTCAAATAAATCCATAACAATCGGTAAGCAACACAAATGACAGGAATTACTACCATTCAAGCTATAAAGAAGGTAGTGCAAGCAGCAAAGACCCACAGCATATCCTACCTCTCATAGAGTAGCACAGCCCGTACCTGTCAGCAGCTTTAAAGCTATGGGAGTCATAACAAGGTATTTTTTAATATAACAACAATCAAAAGGGAGTTCATATACCATTCAGCCTAATGAGAACAGATAACAAGGAAAAACTTTTATGATACCATGGAAATACTTATCAAATGAATACCTTGAAAGCACATGTGTGGATATTGGACTAGAAATAATGGGGAATTATGGAAGAGTATATAAGCATCTTCAAATATATCAAAAGCACGTTAAACTTACAATTTTTCCAAAGGATATTTACTGAGCTACTGAGCTACACAAAAACATCATACTCAACCATGTGATATACTGATAGCCTAAGTATCGGGCATTGCTAATTAGTACCAGAAAAGCATTCAAAAAGTAAAGTCATTTTGCAAGCATAATCCAAATGATCAAAAAGAGAAACTGGGCAAGCAAGTAGGGCGAGAGAGAGAGAGAGAGAGAGAGAGATTTACTTGAAAAACATTTTGGACAAAAGATAAAGGAAGTACCTTACCTTTTTCTTTCAAATGTCTAGACAAATGATTGTGTCGAGCAAAAAAAATTATAAATAAATGGTGAAGACGGAAGAAGAAAAGAAACAGGAGAAGCAGCAGCAAAGTTTCCTCCGATTACTAAAAAGATCAGGCTGTGTGATGGTCAGAATGTTCAAAACACTATTAGCAATTGTCAATTCATGGGACCATATCTTTTTGGACCAAGTTTACCAATTTTATAAAACAAAACATCAGATACAACAAGTCAAAAGTAATGGTTGCTGGATTGAGAGGAAAAAACCCCAACCTTAATGGTGAGCTAGAGAGGCAGGTTTCATTTACCAAACTTGTATAAAATGTAACAAGTGATCAGCTTGCAATTGGGGAAGAAATATAACAAGTAACTGTCATATTAAAGCCCAAGCAAATTGTGCTGACATGAAGTGATGCATAAACACACAATTCCACAAAAATTTTAAGCCATATAGCTACAACTTATGAATAATTCAAGAGGCTAAACAACAGCAGCAACTCAAAATCACCTCAATTGGCGTCAGCAACTCATAAGGCTTCTCCCAACTAGATTGCCTTGTCCTCTTATTGTAATAAAATCTGGATATCAGGAAAAAAGAGTACTAAAATAAACAAAAAAGTAAAAACAACATCAAAATGAATTGTTAACAGCAATGCATTATCACAAGAAGTGATTCAAGTCGGGGTAGACCACTCACTGCCCACTTATACCAAAAATAAATAAAACCCAATAAACTAATCTGACAGTGTTGTATTATGCACCTACAATCACCAGCACCACTAGGAACCACATACCTCCTTCCATTAGCAGATGTATGTTCTTTCCACTCTGTCGAGGCTTCTTCAGTCGGCTTAGGCTGGATACTTGTTGCCTGGAAATTTATGCGGCACCAAGATAAGACACATAAAGAACTGTTGAGATTGCAAAGGAGAAAAGGTAATGTAGAGCAACAACATAAAAAAGAGACGAAAATGAGAGGGTTCTTCCAACCAGAACATTAGTAGTGGTAACTGAAGATTGTTCGCCACCGCGCTGTATAGGTGTAACTGGTGCAATGTTCTGGTTCATGGATGATGCAGGGCGTCCTCCAGTGGGAATAGGCTGCGCATGCATTTGAGGCATGGGCTGAAATTGAGTTACAGCATTAAACGGTACAGGTGGTTGACCATATGAAGACGGTGCAAACTGCAAAAATCAGATTCAATATATTAAATACTTGAGATATCAATCAAACTCATAAAAATCAATTATGAGGAACTTCCCAGTATCTTACAGTATACGATGAAGATAGAGGCACTCCTGGGCCACCTAAACCAGGCATGTAGCTGTTTGGAGTTTGAACACTAGGCGGAGGCAGTGGAGATCCAGACATGACATGCCTGTTTGGCTGAGCATTTGGTAATGGAATTGCCTGAGGTGGTGGTGGACCAAGGCCTGGCTGGTTAGGTCTAGCTGGTAACTGTTGCATTGGGTGAGGAAATTGAGGTTGTGGGGGTTGTGGGGGTTGGGGAGGCAATCCTGGATTCATCACTGTGACACCTCGGCCTACAGGCTGAAAGTGTGGAGAACTCACAGGAATGAATTGCTGTGATGGCTGCACTGGACCAACCGGTCGGAACTGCAGCAACAATTGATTGAAAAAGATTTCTCCAGTTCTATTTGAAGTAATTGGAACAAGTGATCTGTAAATTATTTCAGGTCAGAAACATTACTTGAATGGGCATTGGTGGTGGCGGAGCAAAATTTTGAGGATGATCCATGGGGCCAACCAGAGGAGGCTGGAGAGGCTTTTAAATAATTAAAAAAAAAAACCACTATTAGGAAAAGATAAAGGGAAATTGCCAGCAAATTTTTAATAACAAGTGGCAAATTCAAGAGTTTTCTTTTTTTGTCTTCTAATAAATATAGCCACAAGCTTCAAGGAAAATGGAACGAACTACATGATACAGAACCTTGAACATATCTATACAATGGATGTAATAGAGAGAAGGAATTAGGAAATTATTGCTTATCTAGTATCCACCAACCCTTTTTTTTCTTTCGTATGAAAGAAATAATTTCATTAGATAAGAACAAAATCATTACCATTTAATTTTATACCATAACATGTAATTTTGTTACAATTCTTTAGCACAACATAGATTTCTCTAACGTTTTAGCATATGGAAGGTAAGTGCAGCAAAATCTTTATTGCATGGGCAACAAGATGATTCTGAAGCTAGGAATGGGGTGGGGTCTTTCAAGTTAATCCTATGTGACGACATGTCGAATAAAAAAAAAATAACAATAAGTGCCATGTCCAAACACATAAAGTAGAACTGTGGGTCCTGAATACTTACTTTTTTGAAACATAAATAAGTCAAAACACTTTATATAATAGCATTAATTACAACACGTGAAATATCAACCATTAGCCATCAGGAATTTTAAAAGAACATTTGAGAAAGTGATGTAAACCTCCATGCAAAACATAAACAAAACCTTGGCATGACCATTAAACATATCAACCTTGAGATGCTGTGCAAAAAAACTCCTGTACAATTGTTGGATGCTTATTTCTTCAACAATGGGTCTAGGAAAAAGAAATTAAATAAAAAAAAAAATCTGAGCATGGACAGCACCATCTCAAACAAGAGAGTGGCTGCACTAAGACATTTAAATTTCAACATTACTTTTTAAGATTCAACATGCTAAACATTACTGTCATCTTACATTTCTTTTCTCTGTGTCTTTTTAACTATCCAAGATAAATTGATATGCAATGAAAAGTCTGAATTATGACATGGCATATATTATTTTCTAAAATACTTAACTAGTTAAGAGAATGCTTTTGGTGTATCAAACACAGATTGGAAAACAGTGGTAAAAAATCCATAACATCAAATAAAAAAAGAATATGGAGGCATGCTAAAAAATTCAAGGTCTCTTGCTGTATGAATGCCCAAAAAGTAGCAAGTAGCCAAGATTTGAGTACCCGTAAGGAATGAAAAGTACACATATTTATATATATATATATATATATATATATTGAACATTACCTGCATTCCAGAGAATTGAGGGTTGTTGGCCATTTATGGATGCAGCGTGTATTGGACAATGACTAAACCAGCAAAAATTACCATCACATAAGTATTTTCCACTATGGCAACAAGAGAAACCACAGTATATAATATATCAAGAAGCACATGTGGAAAGATCAAACAAGTTCAATAACATTGATAGAAACACAGTTGATTTTCTGATGGTAGGTAGAACAAAAAATAATTATATTCAAACAGATGAACTACTACTACAAAATAGCAAGTCGAAAAACATCTAGTCATGGAAAGGAAGACAGCAGATATTGAACTTGTGCTTGTGGCATACAATGTAGGCTGTCAAGAAAAATACAAAATAATATCTCGTCCATATAATTTAGACATGAAGAAGCATTTTCCATTTAAATCAACTGTTTTCCACATCTGGACAGAAAATTTTGGCTTATTTTCAGGAAACTGAATAAGATGAAAATCAAGGAATCACAAATAAAAGCTGAGCTTTTTCCTCATAACTTGACAGTATATTTTTTCCAGTTTCGATGAGCCAAGCACCCCATTCTACAATGCCTATTAATAAAATGAAACTGACTAGGTTATTCAGATGAAAAAAAATCAATTAAACCTCTTGAAGACCTACATCGTTAAACTTAGCATTGCTTGCCTTCTATTTCTTCCTAGAGCTTTATTGTTTTATTGTTTAGGCTGATACATTAACCTGGAGAGGCTACAAGCAAACATGCATTCAGACCATGGAGGGTCGCCTCTACATGTTCATGAAAGATGATCTAAGTAGGAAATTTAAAGCAAGGGGAGCATCAGTATGATATTTGTGGAATGTCAGGGTACTTCCCATTCAATAGTTTTTTTGCAAGGTACAGTAGAAAAGTTGAGGAGCTCTGATGTGTTTATAATGGACTATTTGAATTACATCAGTTCCCTGTATACCCTCTGGAAATCATCTACCCAGTCAATTTTTTCTAAGCTTCACATTAATGGAATGCATTATTGGGAAATTCATTATATTTTCAGAAAACAACTCACCCTTAACAGAAGAGTCAAATATCTATGTAATGACATAGGAGGTAAAAAAACATCACTTGGCAACCAACGCCATAATTAAATGATTTTTGAAAGATAAACAAAAGAATCAAAAATCAAGTTACAAACATAGAAGTAATCAAATCAGTGTCATGAAAAAAATTGTTCCAGCCCAAGTTTCCCTCCATCTCATGTGTTTCTAGAAACCAAAAGGTGTTACTTGACCGGTATAAAGACAAATAAAGCAATCCATGAAACAATTATCGTGATAGGAAAGACAAACATGTTTACTTGAAAAAAATGAATCTTGCTAGGAGGACAATAAAACCATGAAATTCCGATTGGGGTATTCCTTAAAATTATAAACAGATACCTGCAAGTTCCAAATTCTCAAATGTAGTAAACATCTAAAAAATAACCACGTGTGAGAATGTAAATGCAGTAACCAACAGCTTTATGCTGCATTAGTTAATTGATGCAGTAACATATTAAACTAATATAGCAACAGCATTTCCAGAAACGGAAAGCACACACTTGTAATTAAATCTTAAGATCAACCTCAATATCATTTGAATTGTTCCTCGCATCAAATGTGCAAATTTGGGAGCTTAATTGCCATCAATCGACTGACCAACAATATCCTTTATCTAAATTTTAAAATGACTATGCCTTAAATAGTAATGTGATGATCCCATTCTTAAAGACGTCACGATTCAATACCTTTACCCTTAAAATCTCAAAACATAAGCAGCAGAACTTACCTACAAACTCCATTGAGGTGCATCAAAAAAGTCTTACTCATCACAGCATTCTTTTCTCACTTTCTCAAAGCAACTAACTTGTGGGCTTAAATAAAATAATTTCCTACAAAATTATCATTCCTTTGTTGCCATTTCCTCGAGTTCTATTGCTGCTTATCAAAATTCATAGCCAAATACAGAAGAAGAAAAATTCCAAAAAAGAAAAACTACTTCGCCAATGCCACTTATCAAAATTAAACGAACTAGATCTTCCTGAAATCCTCCAAATAGGATTCTTAAACCTCCAACTTTTACTTTTAAAAAAAGTCCAAACATTTAATTCACCAACCCTCGGCATT